ACACTCAGGTCCCTGCAGTATTCACTGTAGGCCTCTCTGACAGACAGAAAGTCAGTGTAACAGCCGTTACAACGGCTAAGTGACACCTCAAGAAAGCACACAGAAAAACTCTTCACTGCCAGCGAGAGTCTTGCTGAAAGAAACAATGTGAGGTAAGGAACCAGCCAGAGAAAAGGTGAGAAAAAGAAAAAAAAAATGAGGCGAGGGGAATAGTGGAAGAAGAGTTCAGGCAGAGGCCCGACTGGAGAAATATCAATAGGTGTGTGAAAAATGTGCCAAGACTGGGAGAGATGACGGAGACCCACAATTCCCCAGGGAGGGTGTGCGCCTCTGTGTGAGGAGTGGGAAGGCAGTAAGTGTGATGGTGGAACAAGGAAGGGAAAAATGGAGAGGTCAGATAAATGTCTCTACCATAACTGCCAACACCCAACGATAACAAGTATAAAAGAATTCTTTCTTCTTCTTGAGAAGACAAAGGGAATTTTAAGTAGGATTAAGCAGCCCTGGCTTTCAGAACTCAGCAGCTCTCAGAAGCAGTAATAAGCACATAAGTAGCTAGATGGATGGTAGGAATTAATTCACTCTGGAACTTGTACAGATATCAAAGTTAACAGTAATATCACGTCTTTTTGACAGTTTTCCTGAGATTCTAGGGGAAAGATCATCTCAGAAAACTCGCTGCATTAATTTCAGGAAGAGGATACTCTGTCTCCTGCAGGTTTATATGAAGAGGCCCTGCACTGCTGGGAAGCACTCTCTTACCCACATAAACACATGCTAGTATTGCCCCCAATGGAAGAAAATAATTACATCCACAGATTACCATCGCTTAAGGTAAAATTTTAACTCACAACTGATGTTCCAAATGCAGCTAAAAGGACCCTGTAGGCATCCCATTTTCACAGAGTTCCCTAATTTTTTGACTCATTGTAATAGATGGTTAAAATGCGAAGCTGATAAGGCCAACTTTTGCAACTTGCACATCTGTCTACATTCATTTCTGAATTAGATGGAATTGGAAATATAAACAAGTTTCACACCCTGTGCATTTCTTAATTTATGAATATCCTGCCATCTGAAGTATATTTGACCATTAAGGTGGGAGATCATCTTCACCCTTCCCCCAAACAGAGATGAAAACTTGGTGTTGATGCAAGTTTTTTAATTATTTTCTCTCACGATTTGGAAATGTTCATGTGGTACTGTTTGTTTGTTTTTTAATGTTTTTTTAAAAATATGTTTTATTGATTTTTTTACAGAGAGGAAGAGAAAGAGATAGGTAGAAATATTGATGAGAGACAATTATCGATCAGCTGCCCCTTGCACACCCCCCACTGGGGACATGCCCGCAACCAAGGTACATGCCCTTGACTGGAATCAAACATGGGACCCTTCAATCTGCAGGCCGATGCTCTATCCATTGAGCCAAACCAGTTTCAGCTGTTTGTTTGTTTGTTTGTTTTTTATGTAAGTTAGGATGTTGCATTATTTACTTATCTTCTCTCCAGGGACAAATTATTTCAGTATCACCCACAATGGAATTTGGATGATACTGAAATAATGGAATTTATTGAACCTGATCCCTAAGGGTGCATTTGCCCTAGCACTTGGAGTAAAACACTATTTCCATTGCACAAGAATAGTTCTGATTGGACAGATTGCTGCAATTTTAACAACACCCAAGTAAATCAAAGAAATCTGAAGCAGACATGGCACCAACTCAGGAATCTACTACAACCCAGGTCAATGTTTATGCCTGAAATAAGTACCCAATTCACACCATCTCCAGCTATCAGGACATCCATTTACATCAACATGTGGGGAGAAATGTAAATTTAGGGAAAATATGTATTCTGAAAACAGTCTGTTACAAGTTATGCAATTAGTTAAAAGCTATTTTCCTACCAATTTTGTTATGCTATATATATAAAAAGAAAAGTGTATTCATCATTTCAGTAAAGGTAGATTTCCATTAAGTAGTCTAAACAATAGGATATGAATGTACTGATGATCAAACACATTCAGATTTCAGAATGAAGCACAGTGTAAAATGTATCTGAATGAAAAACACAGAAAGGACTCCACGCATCAACTCTCAAATCCTCCTATAAACTGGCCCCTCTTTATTGCCCATTATTCCTTACCATGCTCCCTCCTACCCTGTGAGACAGACCTCCTCACGCTTCCTCATCCCTCTCCCCATCCCACTCTCCGTCTCTGCCCTGCTCACCCACCATGTCCAAAATCTTAGATGTTCTTTCTCAAACCTTTCTTATTATCAAGTGCACCTCCTCCATGAAGTTTTAAATTGAAAACTTGAACTTGCAGTTATACATTTTCTAAAATTCCTTAATATCTATGCCCAAATTTAGCATTTAATTAAATAATTTCCCCCTCTGCTTATCTGCATGTTTGTCTATTTTTTTCAACTTAGTCACATAATTTAAAATAATACCTCCTCTTCATGCCTCTCCCTAGCATTTCTGCCAATATGCTACTCCACATTTCATTTCTCTCCCTACCTATTCCTACTGAATGCTCAGTCTACCTGAAATTGGGATTACACCTGCTCTATCCTAAAGAAGACTTCTGCACCCTGTTTCTTTTTCTGCCAAATTTCTTGAACAAGCATTCTTTCCTCTACTTTCTCAATCAAGTTCAAGCCCTGTTCAATTTCACAACGTGTATCTCACTATTACACTTCCTATGCCTCAGCCACCCCTCTCTGCAGCACTGTGTGCATCCCCATCTTATTTCCTGGAGACTAAGAAGGCAGTGACCCCTCAACCTTCATTTCCTTCCAAAACTCACCTGATCAGTTTCCTTTTCTAGAGTTTTTCATTGTCATCCCTCATCTCTGCTCAAGCTCCAAGGGCAATTGCACCTCTGCCCTAGTCTTTAACTTCCAGGTCTCCATCCGCCATTCCCTAATTTGTATTTTTAGTGCCAAAAGCTCTGTGGGGTCCCACACCTTATGCTGCCACCTGCTGGGCAGTTCCATGGGGCTACATCAAAACCAAATTCAAGTCAGTCCCTCCAAGTCACCATTCATTCTGTCCTCTCTGTTAGGTAAGTAGTAACTATTTTCCTAGACCTAGCTGGTAGAGATTTAATATTCCATCACTAACTACCACCCTCGGTGTTAATCACTCACCATGTAGTATAAATACTACCTACTAGACTTCTGTCCTCTGTGGTCTGCCCCTAACGCACGTCTTTGTTTAGCCCATCGCCAGAACTGGGTGGTCCCTAATTGACCCTTTTCCTTTCTCATCCCTGATCTCCAATTCTCCTCACACTTCTACAGAAATCTTCTTAAAATAGGCATCTGAGCAATGCCCTGGGTAAAAAGCCTCAAGTAATTCTACCCTAGAGGGAGGAAAGAGCCCAAACTCCTCAGCTCTGGAGCTTCTGCAAATAACTTCCAGAGCTTGTATGATCTGGCCCCAGCCAGTCTCTTTAGTTTCATCTGCCCTCATGCTCCCTCTCACTAACTATGCTCGCTCTCACTCACTCCAGCCTCCCCTGCACCATGAACAAAAGAGACTTGCCCTGGACCCTGCAATGGGCTGCCCTCCTATCTTCACACAGCTGGCACCTTCTGGCTTTTCAGGTCTCATTGCAAATGCCATCTACTTGGTGCAGCTTCCCATGACCACACAATCGAATTGCTCCCCTCCCTGCCATGCCTCTCGGTCACCCTTTCACATTCTCTCTGCTATTTCCTAAAGCATGTCTCAGAATCTGGAAGTCTCTGTTCCTTTATACATTTATTTATTTTGTGTCTGTCTCCTCACATTTGGATGCAAGCTCTCCTCACCCAGCTCCCTCCACAGCATAGCACCTATTCCGCTCTGCTCATATGTCCACTTTAGTACTTATTGTAGTATATCTTTTATTTGAACAGCTGATTCCAAAGGAAGTGAATTGAAAGAAAGGAGGATATATCAAAATATGGACAAGAGGGAGGCATGTCTGCTTATAAAATACCTATTCAAGTTTTGTAATATTCAGTAGAGAGGATTTATGCATCTTTGTTAACATTACCCATAATGTTTTATGGTTTTATTATCATGCTATAAACAGTAGCCTTTAAATTTCATTTTTTCATGTGTTAGTGTCTTATATAATATATGTAAAAAGGATTTTTGTAAATGTATTTCTATTGATTTCAGAGAGGAAGGGAGAGGGAGAGAGAGAGAAATATTGATGATGAGAGAGAATCATTGATGGGCTGCTTCCTGCATGCCCCCACACTGGGGATCGAGCCTGCAACCCAGGCATGTGCCCTTGACTAGAATCTAACCTGGGACCCTTCAGTCCTCAGGCTGACACCTTATTCACTGAGCCAAATCAGCCAGGGAATAAAAAATATTTTTTTAAGTTTATACTGACCTTATATTTGTGATCTTGCCAAATGTACTACTTAGTTTTAAGTAATTTTTAATATTCCACACATAAAATGGGTAATTGAAATGTTTAATTCTTACATTTAAAATATGAATATTTAATATCACTACTTATTTAAGCATAAGATATATAAAATGAAAAATCATAGCTGCTAGTGCTATTCAGAAATGAAAGGCAATCGCATAGGGGACATGGATTAAAGTACTATTTTTTTAAATTAATGTCTTATAGCAAATTATTATGATCCATCATTTTTACTAGAGAGCAACATCATGTCTTGCTTATTTGTCCATACCCCCCTCAATCCTAATAAAGTGCTTTGCCCAAAGTAGAAACTGAATAAATGCTTTTTTAAAGAGGACTGAAATACCCAGCACCCGCGCATGCCCAATAAACACTTGTTGTTTAACTGTAAAAACCAATGGTTACACCTGTTTGTAGAATGAGCAGTGTGTGCTCAGCCCTTCCGGGAAATCATGACAAGAGACATAAGAAAATAGAAAATACCCTCATAGTTACCCACATAGAAACACTTCATTTCTCAGGTGATGATAGAACGAACGCTCCAAGCAAAATATGCAAATGACTACCTGTGCACTTCTTTATGTGACTGTTCCTTTTTCCATGTGATCCTAACTTGCATCCAAAATTCTCCTCCCAAAATTCTGCAAACCACACATTTCTTCGATTATTGGCAAGAGTTCGGCTTCTAAAGTAGCGATCAAATCCTATTTTAAAGAAGAAAGGTATGATTTTAATATTCTTTCAAAAGCAAAACCAAATACTATCAGAGCTTTTAAGTGGATATTATGTTATACTGTGATTGTTCCATGAAAAAAAAAAAATGGGGGAGAACCAAAAGCTTTCTTTATGGCAAAAGCCAAGCAGAATTCGTGGGCAATATCTCTGCCCCCACCATTCACCATTCAGGAACCTGGCACTAGAGATGAGTGTGACAGGGAAGCCTGTTGTCATCTCAACCTCCCCCTCCTCTAGCTCTCCCAGTGACAGTGACCAGTGACCTCATGCTAAATAGTCAGAACCAACTCAGATGCTCGCCTCTCTCTCTCTCTCTCTCTCTCTCTCTCTCTCTCTCTCTCTCTCTCTCTCTCTCTTTCTCTCTCTCTCTCTCTCCTTTCAGGGTTTAATGTTCAAGTCTTCTATGCTTCTACCCACCTCATAATTTATCTGTCCTATATGTTTCATTTTCAACTAATTCAATTAACTAATCAATACTAATAGAATCTTCTGAGTCATGGCTAATGGGCTAAAGTGTCAGCCTGCTCAGGTAATGGCCATACTGAAGAGAGACCAGCTGGAAATAATGCCTCACTCGGAAGGAGAGTGGGAAAGGGAGAAATTTCAATCCCTGTCAGCACCATTTGCAAAGGTGTTTGGGAGTCAAGCTGCCTTTCAGGGATGCTCCACATCTTTGCTGGAGGGTTTATTTTATCCATGGGGTCAGCCCAGCACCATCTCTTCATTTTCTAATTAGCAAACCCTCTTCTCCAACTGCGCTATAACCATCATATATGCCCATGGAAATGTACAAACTTAGAGGGTGACATCATGAAAACGGCTAACATCATGGATATATGTAAGGCCAGCTATAATTGCCTTTCTTTTTTAAAAAAAATTTATTTTATTGATATTTTACAGAGAGGAAGGGAAAGATATAGAGAGCTAGAAATGTCAATGAGAGAGAAACATCGACCAGCTGCCTCTTGCACACCCCCTACCGGGGATGTGCCCACAAGCAATGTACATGCCCTTGACCAGAATCGAACCTGGGACCCTTCAGTCCACAGACGGATGTTCTACCACTGAGCCAAACCGGTTTCGGCCTATAATTGCCTTTCTTAAAAAAAATACAGTAGGTACTCTTCTAATAAAAATTGTATGTGCTGGGTTAAATAATGACTGTCTTGGCAATTTCACCATCAGAACTAAACACTCTCTCCAGGGTCATCCATAATGGGTGTGTTTCATTATACGCTGATACTCTGGTTTCACCTTTGAGTTTTGATTTAATTGGAATGAAAAAATTTCTACCATGCATCCTTACCATCAATCGATGCTCTTTTGGGCAAAATTGTCACAGCCCCTTCTGCAATCTCCTCCTGCTGGTAAACGGGTGCTATTTTAGATCCCCAACTATCGGAGCCAATCCAGAGAAAATGCCCACTTTGGTTTAATTTTTTTGCTGCTTCCAATATCCTCCTATCAAAATAAAAAGAAATAAACATACCACATTTGTCAAGAAACACTACACTTATGAATGTTACAAAATGGCTATATCAAGTTATGTACACTTGCTAGGGCACCATTAGACAATCATTCTCACTGCCGGAGGCTTATCATCTTCTAAGGAAAATATATTGGTGACTTTAATTTCAGCACCTTAATTAGCCTTATCCTTAATCATATTCCCTTCATTCTATCAACCTGACTTGTCTCACTTCTTTCAGTCCCCGGGTTTTACTCAATAGACATTTCAGACTTAGAAACTCGAAGGCTGTTGTGTCACCATGCACCATAAGGCAAATTACATAAGAATGTTTCAATTCCTGTGAAATCTCACAAGACTTTATATTGAACATAAAATATGTTAGAAAAAAAAAAGGAGATGGACCACAAATCTGATCCTACATAAGGAAGAAAATTAATCAGTACCTGATATCATCTTCATTGGCAAACATAATCACTGCCCGGGCATTAGGTGTTTCTAGCAGACGTTTGATAATCTTTTCAAATTCTCCAGGTCTTGGTTCACGTGGGATTTTCTGCGATTGAGCAATGCAAACACCACCTATTTTTTTTTCAAAAGAAGACATGACTCAGCAAGGGCATTTATTTAACCAACTTAATGAGGTTAGCTACTTTATGAAAACACATAACTTGGTATAGAATATTGCTTCTTTCTTGTGATGAAAAATTTTAAGATATACTATCTTAGCAACTTTAAAGTATATAAAATATTATTATTAACTATAATCACTGTAATGTATCGTACATTAGCTCCTCATAGCTTATTCAATCTGGCCCTCTTCTCCTCGTTACCATCATTATACTTCACTTAGCATACTTTTCTCAAGTTCCATTGATGTGGTCACAAATGGGAGTATGTCTTTCTTTCTCATGACTGAAATATATATATATATATATATATATATATATATATATATATATATATATATATACAATATATATAGTCACATCTTCTTTATTTATTTATGAATACTTAGGATATTTTTATATCTTGAGTATTCTGAAAAATATGTTACAAAGAATATGGGCATGTGGACATCTTCTCCAGATTCTCTTTTTATTTCCTTTGGATAAATAACCATAAGGGGATTGATGTATCAGATGGTAGTTCTAGTCTTAATTTTTGAGGAACATTCATACTGTTTTCAATAGTTACTATACCAATTTAGATTTTTATATCTTGAGTATTCAACAGTGCATAATGGTTCCCTTTTCTCCATATGGTCACCAAGATTTTATATCTTGCCTTTTTTTATTGAATTTATTGGAGTGACACTGGTTAACAAAATTATACAGGTTTCAGGCGCACAATTCCACAATACATCATCTATATACTGTATCATGTGTTTACCACGTCAATCTCTATCCATCACCATTTATCTCTCCCATACTCTTCTCTTCCTCCCTCCAGCCCCCCCCCCCCTCAGCAATCTCTAAACTGTGTCCATGTCCATGAGTTTATTTTCTCTTTTTTTTTTCTTTTATGTTCAATCCCTCCATACCCCTACCCAACTCCCACCCTCCAACAGCTATCAGCCTGCTCTGTATCTAGAGTTTGTCACTCTTTTTCTTGTTAGTTCATTTTGTTCATTAGATTCCACATATGAATGAAATCATCTAGTACTTGTTTTTCTCTGACTGGCTAATTTCACTTAGTGGAATACTGTCCAGGTCCATCCATGTTGTCACAAAGGGTAAGATATCCTTCTTTTTTATGGCCCAGTAATGTTCCATTGTGTAAATGTACCACAGCATTTTTATCCATCCATCTACTGGTGGACACTTGACTGCTTCCAAATCTTGGCTATTGTAAATAATGCAGCAATGAACATAGGTGTGCATGTATTCTTTTTAATTAATGTTTCAGGTTTCCTTGGATGAATTCACAGAAGTGAAATCACTGGGTTATAAGATAGTTGCTTTTTTAATTTTTTGAAGTAACTCCATATTGCTTTCCACAGTGGCTGCATCAATCTGCATTCCCACTAACAGTGCTACTTTATAAAAACATGTGGTTTGGTACAGAATATTGTTTCTTAAAACATCTGCCTTTCTTTCTTTTTTTTTAAATATATTTTATTGATTTTTCATGGAGAGGAAGAGACAAGGATAGAGAGTTAGAAACATCGATGAGAGAGAATCATTGATCAGCTGCCTCTTGCACACCCCCTACTGGGGATGCGCCCGCAACCAAGGTACATGCCCTTGACCGGAATCGAACCCGGGACCTTTCAGTCCCCAGGCCGACGCTCTATCCACTGAGCCAAACCGGTCCCGGCGTCTTAAAACATCTGCCTTTCTTGACTGTTAAAAGCAGTCATGTTTGTTTGCATTATAATGTATGTATCAAATACATTACATCAATTACTTAATCATACATCATGTTTTTTCCCAAGTTTAAGCATTATTTTTGTGACTGTCTATAAGAAAATCAAATATATATATAAAGTGTGATGGGAGGTAAGGAGTCAAGGAAGAAGGATCCTTTTGATTCATTTAATACAAGTCAAAAAACAAGTATGAGTAGAGAAAAGCATGAGTAAGACTTTCTTATGTATGAAAACACTAATGGGAAGGTCCTTTTGATACTTCTATTTATTAATAGAGTTCCTTTAAAGTTGTTTTCATCTTATAGCTCATAGCATGGCAGCAAAATTCTTATGCATTAGCATAATGACATGTCATGAACCAAGTGGTCCTCATAACTATTTGAGACACAGACAAGTCCCAAAGATTCAAACCCTCAGTTGACATATGTCTCCATCATGAAAATCAAAATGGTAGAAATCCCACCCCACTATTACAGTAAAGAACTCTTCCCTGGCCTTTCCTTGTAAGGCAAAGAGAGACCAAAAAGAAAAGTTTAAGGTAGATCTCTGCCACTGGGCTAGGATAAAAGAAGAAGAGTTTCTTGGTGGCAATAAAGCAGAGAAATAATATGCTAATATTAGGGGTGTGGAAAGCAATATCAGCAATATGTTTCAGTTCTATTATGTTTTGAGCAGGCTTTTTGAGTCAGTTGAGTATTAAATCATCTTTCATACCATTGCGTGTGTAGGAAAAGGCATTTTTACTCCAGGCAATAAGAGATACATTCAGATACCCATAAGTAACTGGATGCCATTATATGCTATGCATTAGGCTGAACACTGGGAATACAGAGTCCAATTCAGGAGTTATCATCCAGTTTTGGAGATAGACATTCCAATAAATTATTATGGATTATAGGATAAATTTCAAAATTAAGAGATTATACCATAAATGAAAGCAGAGAAGAATATGTAACAAAAATGTGTAAGAGATGTGAATTTTTTTAAAAGGTAAGAGTTTCTTTAAAAAAAATATGTTTTTATTGGTTTTAGAAAGAGAGAAAGGGAGAGGGAGAGAAAGAAACATCAGTGAGAGAAAACCATCATTTGGCCTCCAGCATGCCCCCTACTGGGGATAATGCCTGAAACCTGGCCATGCGATCTGACAAGGAATCCTACTAGCAACCTCTTGGTACATGAGAGTACATTCAGCTAACTAAGCCACACTGGCCAGGGCTGAGAGAGATGGATTTAAAAAAAAAAATTATATATATATATATATATATATATATATATATATATATATATATATATAAATTTTTTTTAAATTTCACTGATTTTTCACAGAGAGGAAGAGAGAAGGATAGAGAGTTAGAAACATCAATGAGAGAGAACCATTTATCAGCTGCCTCTTGCACACCCCCTACTGGGGACATGCCCCCAACCAAGGTACATGCCCTTGACAGAAATCAAACCCGGGACCTTTCAGTCCGCAGGCCAATGCTCTATCCACTGAGCCAAACCAGCTTTGGCAGAGATGGATGTTAAAGGACAAATACAACAACCATGTAGGGACAAAAGTGGGACATTTCTCAAAGAGGCCAAGTATGAAAGAATCTTGCTTGATCATGGCCTATGATAAACTGAGGTTGAAGTTGGAAAGAATGGCCAGGCCTAGCTTGAGTATTGCTTTGTTATTCAAGCCAAGTAATTAGGGCTTTATCTTGAAAACATTCATTCATTCTGGACCTATTGAACATTTTTGTTAGTTCTAAGGAATCTACTGAAAACTCATAAGCAGGAGAACTACAGGATGGGCTCCATGTTTTCGGGGAAAAATCTCTGGTAACCAAACAAAGAGGGCATGTCTAATAGCCAGACAATAGATGTCCAATGTATTGTGATCAGATTTAACATTCATATTAATAATGAATAATTAACATTCTAGATTACTAGAGATTTATTTTTTTAATGTATTTTATTGATTTTTTACAGAGAGGAAGAGAGAAGGATAGAGTTAGACACATCGATGAGAGAGAAACATTAATCAGCTGCCTCCTGCACACCCCTACTGGGGATGTGCCCCAACCAAGGTACATGCTCTTGACTGGAATCGAACCTGGGACATTTAAGTCCGCAGGCTGATGCTCTATCCACTGAGCCAAACCGGTTTCAGCTGGAGATTTATTTTTCTTTACGTTAAAGCAGTCAAAATTATCCCTGCAATATCTTTATTAACCTTACAACATGTTCTACAAGGGTGGGAATTGCCCATAATCCATAGACTGAGCCTGTCTATGGATTATGGGCAATAATAGTCTAGTTAGCTAGACTACTGATATGCCATTAATAGTTGAGATGATAGATTTATTCTTTCAGAAATATGTATTGAGTACCCACTGTCTGCTAGATTCTATGTGGGGGCCATGGGATGTCATGGTGAATATAATAGATATGGTCTCTGACTTCACAAAGTTTAGAAATGTTCATGAGCCAGGCTTAATGAAAACAAAACCAAAAAAAGCGCATAATTATAAATTATGGCAAGTTCTTTGGGGAAGAGCGAGTGAATTTAATATAGAGGAGTATTCAGGAAAAGCCTCTCAAAAGTGGTATCACTTAGTTGAGGTCAGAAAGGAGATAAAATGGGAGAGGAGAACATGGAAAAGGGCAGGGAAGAGCCAGGGAGTTCACAAATGATGGGAAGAGAAATGTAAAACAAAGATGAGAGGTGAGTGTGAGATAAGAGGTCAGATTACGCACAGTTGTGCAGGCCAATGGAAGATTATGAATGATTAAAATGCTTCTCAAGTTACTCCCTAAATGTTTTAGTAGCCCATAAGAACATGTCTTGTCTATGCATTTTATGGAAGAAAAATGGATGAGGATTGCTGATGTAGCAGGCAACCTGGAGTGGAAAGAATTGGAGGCAATGAGCCCAGCTGGGAGTTTATGGGGACAGGCAAAGGGAAAACACAGTGAAATCCAAGCTAAGGAGCAGCAGATGGAGCTGTCAGAATGTGAGTTAGAATCTGTGATGCTTGATACTAGGTTTTACAGCCTATTGAAGTAGGATTGGCAAATGAAAATCCTATACATTTAGGTTGTGCTGATGTGATCTAAGTAGGAAGCAATTAGAAACCACTAAGCATAACTCCAAGGTTTTGGCCTTTGGGACCAGTATATGCAGTGCCATCATTAAGCAAGTAGGAAAAACTCAAGTAGGAGTGAG